CCTGGAATTCATGTCAAATTATTATAAATTCAGTACGAAGCTGGACTAAACTGTCAACACTTAGTCCGTTAAGATTATTTGATTAAGCTTATTGCCAATACGTAGTGAATCTCATCTGCGACGCGATTACGTAATGAACCTCAGAAACGTTCAGCCTAATGGGCCCATTAGTCTCTGAGTTTGTCTGAATGACAAAGCTGGACCGCAATCAACTCATTGTGCGTAGTGCCAGCCCTCTTTTCTAAAAATAAGGCTTTCACAAGCTTCAGTGAGCCGTCGCTGCCTTGCAATGTCCGGTCGTCCCGAGCGCAGGGAAAACAAGCTTTTATATGCTGAAAACTTGAAAGGGTACGCTTTGCCCGTGGTCAGCCGGCAGACTTTGCTCCAGATGTCGAACTATTCAAGCGAATAGCGTATGTTATTAAGTTTTACGTTCTTTTCGCGAACGAAGGCAAAATGGTGTGCCGTCTGTGTTACCAGCAAATAGGCTACCGATATCCGGATTAGCGTTATCCGAACATCGGTGGTCTCCTCTAAATATGGAATTCAGTGATAATAATCCTCAAGACGACTGGACAGAACCTTCAGCTGGTTAAGCCCTACATTTATCACGAGAGGTAAAGTAACTAGTTTTTGAATCGGCCATATCATTTCGAAAAATTCCGTGAAAACATGGCAGGCAAAACTGAAATCTCAAATTGGAGCCTTGACTGGACGTTATTAAGATCTTCTTATAAAATTCAAATTTTAGAACCACAGGTACTTGTGATGATAACCTATGCACGAGTTGTCAGACAACGGACGTAGCAAGCTTAGTATTGGGGGGGGGGGGGGGGGGGTCGGAAGAATATCGTACGTTAAGCAATCGGTCAGAGCAGTAGGAGTGGCATTTTATTCTACTATATGATTATTAGTGGCATGATTCGTGAGTTAGCAGAGATACTTCGATGCATACGGTAATGAAGAAAAGATTCGGCGACAATCACTATTAGCCATAACACGACCGAGTTCCGTTCAGTGAAAACCAACGACAGTAATCGAAGACAGCTAAATCGACGGTTGAAGTGACCGTTCCGCTTCCGCCACAAATTTTCAAGGACACTGCAACTGAACAATATCAGTCTTCGAGCGAATCTTCTAGCGTCGACTCACAAAATTTGAATTGTCAATGAAGACACTAATTTGAAATACCCCGTCAAAGCTTGGATTCGTTCGAAGTTCGTAGTCGCGTCAAATCATTATTGAAGACGCAGTCTCTCTATTTTTAAGCATGGATTTAGCGGTTTACGTTTGTAGCTAGTCTTCGAATATAATTCGAAGATGAGTCCCGCGTCTGTCTTATACGTAATTTAACTAATTTGATCCGTCAGCGGTACACCCAGCCCTGCATCAACAGTTGTCCTGTTCTGATTTTGATCTGCCCCTTTTAGGTGGATCGCAGGCTTCGCCTCGCGTCTGACTTGCTACAAAGCATCGATACGATGACCAATATTGGTTTTAAAAGACAAATTTTAAATAGAGACAATAGAGGTAACGTCGAACACCGACAGGCACAACACCTAATAGCTTCTTCCACAATAACATCCAGTCATAGCTATTCATCGAACACAAATATAACAGATTTTTTCATACGAAATTTTCGTCTAATATGAACAGCATATACTAACTCTAGAAAATATGTCTTGTTAACTATATGCCTCTTTATATGGCTGTGTATGTTTTCGTTGGGATGCGTTTGCATTAACGTGTCGAATAATATAGACGACTTTGATGTCCGCCGTGTTTTACTACAAATTAACTAGATAAAAATAACTAGATTCTCTGGTAGAACGGAACGCGATCACTTTAAGGAAGTATATGTCCGATCGGCTGCGTCTTTTCCGCTGTGATTAGCAGAAGAGAGCTTCAACGACCCAAAAAACAGCCCACTCCGATTACTTAGTGGGCTCGATTTGGATTGGATAAACAGAACCTTTTTGGTAGTATTTAGAATTAGCATGCGTGAGCTTGTAGGCGCGCCGATCGTGCTATTAAACATACTTTGTCTCAATTGTGTGTAGATAAAAGGCTAATTATGTAGAAAAAACCGAGTGCCTAGCTATAATCTAATGGCCTTTTCTATGATGTAGCTTAAATATAACTTTTCGAGCAACACACGGTGAGCATACACGTTCACGTAACCTTATTTACAGAAATATGGATATGATGATTTATCAGCACTAACGACATGGATGACCGCCTTGGTGTTTGTAAATGGTTGTGTGACGCTGTTTTTAAACATAGAACATGCCTGCCCCGGTTGTGACCAATCAACTTAGCATTACGCTCTATAAGAAGAAACAAACCTTGTCCTTTAGGAACAAGGGCATTTGCTTAATCGGCTCCGCGTTCCTCGCAGATCTTTTCAGAAGATAACTCTAGCCATTGACAACAAATCAACCGCTACCCTCTGAGAGGTCGCTTTGGGCCGGATAAACTTGCTAATCTAGACTTCTCGTAGTGCAGATGTTATTAAATATAGATATAAATAAGTAGATGAGCAAAACAAATACATTTTATCGACAAAGCTTGGAATTTTCGCACAAACAAACAAACAGACTTTCCTCTATGATACTTTCTGCCGGATTCATTTACGCTTTACAAAACGTTTTGTATGTTTCGCATATTTTATGAGCGTATCCCATGTAGAACCAAAATATCTCTGTAGCGGACAAATACGCCAGCATCTGCTGTTTTGGCAGACTGAATTCAAATGATACGTACAAAACTACGATAGGTCCTATTTAGGGTTCCAGGGTTTTTGGACCAAACCATCCTGGAATATTAATTATGGAATGCTCGAGTGCACATTGTTCTCTGATGCTGCCGTGACGTTTGATATCTTGTGTCCATTCGTGTTAAGTCAGACATTCCATATTAACTGAACACATATTATATAAATTTACAAACAGTGCGTTGGGCGAGGGATTTTAGAATATATGCGATTGCAAAATATATATATATAGAACGTGAAATTTCTAGATTGTTTTGTGTCGCTTCTCTCACCCCCATGTGTTACTTTTCAGAGATGTTGTTCACTAATGCTATAGCAGGTTACATTGCATAATACGTGCAGCTTTTCGTCTGATACAATCCGTTAAGCATTTATAACTGGTTCTGGAAAACCTGCCGCATAGAAGACAAAAGCCTGATTCTCAGATCGGTTGCCCTATTCAGACCCTATTCAACTTGTTGGTCCCGCGAACGTACCTACTGTAGTTTGCTGCCGTCCTGGTTGCTGGTCCGGCGCTACAATTTACGAGTGCTCTTAAAAGATTGTGTCGATTGGAGTAACTAAAATCGCTTAGAAACTTAAGCGTTTTCATTGAACTACATATTATTTGAACGAACCCTGCGTGTGCTATCGGGAACACGTTCCTTTCTCTACTCTTTTGAATACACACAATTTACTCAACTACGCCGCTTAAGTGCACACTAAACTGTGCTAAATTACGCTTCTGTCAGTGGATAATAATGAAGACACCGGACAGCCCCAAATTAGCTTTTGGGGCATATTGTGCGTCAATGGCACAGCAGAGTGAGAGCAGACAATCAGCTGCGAGTAACATCTAGGACCCGATAGAGTTGCGTCGTATGACGTTCGCAGGCTCTTTTGATAAAATGATTTGATAGTTTTCGGTATCGAACTTACGTATCGTATTCACTGTAATATCATTCTCCTCCGGGAAGTAACTTTCGACAATTCTACAACTCACAAAATAAACCATTACACCTTTAGCTGATTCAATGTTCTACGGCACAGACAACGACGAGAACGAGACTAAGTTCGAAAGCAGAAGGCGAAGTCCAACAGAGCTGCATTATATACCGTCTACGATTATCGTTCGATGAAACCGGTACAATGATTCATCAGAAGTTATTCATTTGTGCTATATAGATTGTTCACTCGTGCGAAAAATAAAGGCCTAACGTCGGATACTACCGTTGAGCATCGTCTCGGACAGTTGGCTTTTAGCAATAGACAAAGTGGATCTATTCCCGGCTTCAGATTAATGTGCAATTACGTGAAGACGGTACTATTACCGTCGGTACTATTACCGAGGACGCGGAATCCAAGTTCAGATTGACTCGAATCCCAACTTTCTGCTGGTGCCTTCGCGGAACAGCATTAAATCCATATATATATATATATATATCGCATATTTTTGATAGTTCGTTTTGCTTGATGTTCGCATCGTTACATTTCCTGTCTCATCCTGCACGGAACCGATAGCGTCACGAATCCCAAATCCCTAATTCGATCAGCTTAACACTAATTGTTTCTTTTGCCTAATTTCCTTTTCAATCTAAAATCACGTCTTATCCTTCGAAAGAAACAGACATTCTCTTCTAGCTCACGTTGGCCTGATGCAACAAACGGGTCTTTCTCGTCCCGTCTAGTTTTGTTCGATGACCGGCCTTTTTGCATGAAACCATGGAGTGCCACATTACATCCGGCAGGACGAAATCGGAAAATGACAGCTACCTTTTAATCTTTTTTTTTTTTGAATTTTATCCTTTTGCCATTTTCGTTTGTGCATATAAGTTAAAAAATGTTTCGAGTAATACGCCATGTACCACCGTTAAGCGCTGCTTTAAACACGCGCACATCGGTTAGATACATTAAAACAAACTGGAATAGAACTTTTTTTATTTGTATTTCCCTATCACAGCACCCGAATTGTTGCATAATGCAACTATGTTGAAAATCAATTGAGCAAAAGCTGAAATATAAATTGCTGATTCCTCGGCTCCGTCCCGTGTGAATATTATACGCTAATGGCGTTCGCCTATCGATATGAATCGAGAGGGCCGACTCGGCCGACATTTAAGACCTCATCTTTGCCGTAAACGTATGTATGTTTATAGAGCGTTGCTTGTCGACGATCTCAAAGCTTATTGTTGCCTAATAAAGTGAATGAGTTGCTTTGTCGGCGACACGACAACTGCTTAAAACTTACTAGGCTGATCTCGGTAATTACACAGCAGTTTCCACGTCGCACAGACGGCGATGATGACAATGGGTACGGCACGCCCCGCTGTGTCCTCTTCTGCCTTGTTCTCCTTCTACCCTTCTTCTTTTCGTTCAGAACATCCCCCGACGTGCATGGCAAACCCGCTCCTTTTGTTCCCGGCGCACTTTACGGTGCTCTCTTCATTTTGTTCCTCACACAATGCACAGCATAGTATCTCTCATTTAGCACCATTAACCGTCTCCCGATGCTTCACTACTATCATCGTTGGCATAAGCGTTAGTTATATCCACGGGTACGTCGTCACAGACACACGAATATGCCCACACACACTCATAACAACTAGTAAGGGAACAACGTTGGCTACCGCGACTCTAGCCGGCTCTGCTCTGCTTGGGTAGTTCCGTTTGCTTGTCGGTCACGCTCAGGACCTTTGGAGCGCGCTCGCCTCGTGCCACCAGCCAGAAAACCCGGATCGATGAACGGCTGATTGCCGTAGCTGGTGGAGAAGCCAAGACACTCATCTAGCTATTCCTAATTAACACCTGGCCCAGCTGATAATCGGGTCTGCGATAGCGTTTGCCGACTATTTGGGTGAATTTACGTATTGGGAGCGCTTGCGACCGCGCAACATGCCTTACAAAGATAAAGGGAAATAGCCGTTGTTGAAAATCGTCCTTTCTCTCCCGTTTGTCTTCCAGACGGATATTTTCGGCACTTACTTAGCTATTCATATTGGACCCTGTCTTAGAAACCTCGATCCTGCTGGTCGCGTTCACTCAATGACGCGAACGAAAGGTTTGATGGTCGTCCATCGCGCTATGTAGCAACTTTACGGGACAATAATCCTACTTGACGACGCGTATTCGATAAACGATAGGCGCGTACAAGAGTGCTCTCCAGCTCTCTGGCAAAAGTACGGACCTTGAATGGTTCCTCCTAATTTAAAATAACAACGAACTTCTTCTGTTCGTTGATCTGCGGTACGATGCTATCGGCGGCGGTTCCTAGAATAAGGCAAAGCCGAACTGTTTTTGGCGGCCTAAGATAAGTAAATGAACGAAATTAACCACCACAGTGCACGGTGCCCGCGTAGCAATTACTGCTTGTTAAATCATGCTTTCTGATCACGCATTATGATCAACAGGCTAGCTGGCCTGATCCGACACAATGATCGATTAGCTCTAAACAATCAACGCACTATGTTCTTGTCGAGCAAGCAAGCAAAGACCGCATAAGATCATCATTATTGGCAGTCTGACCTTTGCCATCAGCGTATTTCTCGAAATGTTAGTACTGGCGCCTAGAATGCGCACTCGGTATATTACGTTTCTGCCTCGTACTCGCTGAAGCCGGAGCAAAACTACGAACGTGAATTTTCTTGCGCTGCTTTGAACGCCTATTAAAACACATTACCTAAACGCTTATGCTCTATCTACATATCACACACTAGTAAAGCGAATTCTACCGAACGCAATGGTGGTCAACCCGTGATTTGATGCTTGCTCTCTGCATCTATGGGTCTATACTCTGTGCTTACAAGCAAAACCGACCGTCGGCCGCCGGTCAACACAAGCAAGAGCCGAATGATCTACTACGACTAACGAAAACAGCTGCTGTCGATGTTGTACCCCGGGCTTATCGATGCTGTTGCTGGCGTTTCCTCTGCTATTATGTGTATACGTATATATTTATGTGTACATGATGTTGTCGACAGCGACACTGGCACTGTTCTCGAGCGCCGTTATCGTTACTGCTCCAATTACCGGACGCTGCCGTGTTTTCCAACGACCATTCGTGATAGTGGCAGCAGTGACACAAAATGCTGCGTTTTTGTCGCCGTTGTTGTAACCGCCAGAGTCGCCAGAGGCGACTGCTGTGCGCCTGGCGCTCAGCGATCTATGACTGAGGTTTCGAACATTCGTGCTACTGCTCATTTACTCTGCTTCTTTAGTTCGCTTCGCCAGGCTGTGATCTGTCGCAACTTTTCCATTCTTTCAGCAGACCGTTCTCTCCCAGCGTCTGACGCTATTGGTTTGTAGAGTGAAGCTATATGCATTACTGTTGCAGCCGCGGTTAGTTGCGTGCCAGGTACCTTGAGGTCGGTTAAATTAGGATGCGTAAGCGTAGAAATGCTCTCGTGAGCCGCGTTCGATAGTCACCCTGTCTACGCGATTTGTCTTCATGAAAACGTGAAAATATGATTATGCCGTGTGACTGGAAAACAACGATCTTTTTTTAGTATCGATACACTCGTCGAAACACTGACATTGCTAACAACACCAGGTAATCGGTACGTGGTGCACTAAACACAGAGCACACGCTGATGCGATGGCGGGCAAAAGTTTAACGATCGAATAACCAACTATGTCTGACTGACCGCTTGTTGTCCTGCCGGCCGTCCACTAGTAGCGTCCGTTGAGTGTCTACTACCCGTTTGCTATGTCGATTTCAGTCTGGCTGACTGGCAGTGCCTATAGTAAATATAAAGAAGAGACGCACGCGCTTCTAAAAACAGCGGTGATGCGTACAGCAGCAGCAACTGGCTGTCTTGCACCGACACCCAGAGAACCTCCTTGCACTCGAAGAGTGAAGTGCTAGAACTACAGGACGATGAGAAACTGATCCTGACCAGCCACCACCGCTGCTGCTGTGGCAACCGTTACCACTGGGGCTGCGGCTCTTGGTCCTGCTCTGATCGTGACGTTCGTAGCCGTTGTATCTTGCTGCTGCCGCTAATAGTTGTAGCGGTAGTAGGAATAGCGGTAAAAGTCGATGTTGTAGCGGATGAATCTATATCGGCCCCGCGTTGCACATCGGCTACTGTTGTTGAGAGCCAAAGACTGAGGCTGTGTCCGAGGTCCTTCTTTCCTGCTGCTGTCTACCTTTTGCGAGTCTGTCTGTCCACTCTCGGCTGGCAGTCTCCTATTACTACTACCACTGCTGCTGCTGCGGCTGCTGCTGCTGCTGCTGCTGCTGCCGTCGTCGTCGTCGTCGTCGTCTATGTTGTCGTGTCGCCGCTGTGAGGTAGGCCAGCATGTTCCTACTGCTTATATGTTCTGCACTAGCTCGCGCTTGATCACTGTTTATTCAAACACACTCGAACAGCGTTTTGTGGTCCTGCAAACAAAAGTCCTGTCGCCAGTGAACGAAGCACGGACCGCCAACGGACAGCCAAGCAACCGGCCCCTCGTCCGTAACCCGGACGCCGGCTGCTGCTGCTGCCGCTGCAGGGAAAGGGCCAATCTCGATGGGGAGAGAAGGCACCGTCTGTGGAAAGGGAAACCGGCCAGTGTACATAACCAGGCCACAACGCTAGGATGAGTAGGGTACTCAACCCTGGATTAGAGGAGGGTTGCGCTCGCTGCCTCCAAGGTCTTTACCCCCAGACTTCACTGGGTATGTTTAGGGGTAGGTGGACGAAAAGACTGCGGCAATCCCACCAGCCAAGTATTCCACCCCGTCGGCAAAAGGGTCAACAGCAAGGGAACTTGCAGCGGGGCTATAGAAACCATGCGGCGTCCCGGATAGCTTGGCACTCAGGAAGACGACTTTGGTTCTCTCCCGGGGCCTACGCGAGGCTGCTATGGCAATGAGTTCGAGGAGAAAACAAGATACGGCCGTGTTCATTCCGCCTACTACAGAACATACGCAGTAAGCAGAAGGTCGAGCATACGATGAACTATGTGCGTTAAATAGATCGTCGTAGGCGTCGGCAGGAGAAGGGGGTATAAAATAATACATAATAGTATGAGTTAACGGAGCGGTTAAGAGGAGCTAAAAATCTCGTCGTCACAAGTGCGTATGCACGACTCTTGGCTTTCAGCAGCTGCTCAAGTCAAGAAGATGAAATATGCTGCCGCCACTACAAATACTGCCAATACAGAAGCCGTTTTGAATATCATGATATGCGTGTACTTAGCACGGTACCCATTCGGTGATATTTGTACCTTATACTAGACATCTACAACGTAGGCCAATGGACATGTTGCAATAATAGAGCAAGCGACCGTGCGCCAAGATTTTAATATTCTTGTTACCTGCTGTCAAGAAAAAAATCAAAGCTGTGCCTGCTTTAAGAGCAGCTTCCCCCGGGCCGTACGTTAGGAGTCGTCTTCACGTCGTTAAAGCCGGTAGAATCGTCGCGGAACGCTCTCAGTAGTGATGTAGTCTTATACAATTGTATATATCGGATTTACACGCGTACTGCCACTGACGGTATGTATAGAAGTCTCGATGACCTGAATCTAGCGGCTTGGGTTTCCGAGAGCTAGCTGAGGTTGGCTGCATTCTTTCTTTTCTCCTTCAACCTAACGATACAAAAATATTACAAACTTTCTGTGAATAATAGAAAATCCAATAGCATGCGATCTTGCTTCTGTCAATTCAGTTAAATAAGATTAAAAACAACCCATTTCCTACAAGGATAATAGAGCATGAATCCTCTAGGAGAACAGAGAGCCTTTTTATTTCTATATCGTCCCTGGATTAATTAGATATATTATTAGCGGTCACGCGTATTTTTACGTGATATTCACAATATCGGTTTTGTCTAGACTTTATAATAGCTAACTTCGGGTGTTATAATTCATTTAGTCAACTTTGATTGTATTTATATAATTTTTTTCACATATAAGCGGAGAAAAAAGCAGCAATTAAGCATGGGATGTTCCCGTTCATTTGTAGTGAACGGTAGCGGTTATTCGGCACTACCCTCTTGAAGCAGACGAAAAATAGCGTCTTTTCTAAGAAAAGCGAATAGTTGTATCGTTCTTGTCAAGCTTGTCGAAACTTTTTAACTGATGAGGTTACGTCTGGAAAAAGGATACCTCATCGATGAAGACGTACTGCCGTATCGTTGTTTTTCGGCGCTGGAGTGACCCCGAACTACACGATCATTAAACAGGTAAACAAATTAGGCCAGAGAGAAAAGGACTGGTGGTTACGTGCACGTGGGAAAGGGGGGGGGGGGGTGTGTCAGGGGGTTCTCGGGTTTTGCCTTGAGCGTGTTTTGCCTTTGATTAATTAAGTAACTAATTAATTAATTTAGTCTATTAATGTTACATTCAGCTCAACGTAAACAGTTTAGCCATTGCAATTTACCTGACTCATCTAACGCGTTGCCCTTGGCAATTATTTTCATCAGCTTGTTCCAATATTAACGAATTCAATTCGACTAGTAGAAACTAGGGATCGATTTGGAATCCATTATTTTTTTGAGAACCGTGATACCAGTCTGTTATAATAATCCTTTCATTTTACTACTACGATATAACTGTACTCGAGTCGTGACGCTATCCAATATAACCCACAAAATCATTATAGTTTCCGTCTGGCAGCGCTTTCGCTATTCCCTTTCTTCATTCCGTCCTTCAAGAATGATTTATACTTTATCGGAGATGACCCAGATTAGCATTACGCTGCCCTGTCAGAGAGCGATTAGCCACAAAAAGAACTATTGACCAAATTAATGAATAAAATTCATACATTTAAATTATGATTCATTATTATGTCGTATCATGATTATTTCGTCGACTGTAACCGATGTCGAACAGTTAAACTTACTTCTTAGTAAAAAAAAAAAAAAGAAAAAAAAATATAATGATGAGTATTATGTGAAGCCGAAAAACTAAGTAACTTTTCAATATATATACTTCATAAACTCTAAAGAGTTCGTCAAAAAAATAGTCCACTTGTTTGCACAGCGTTTTATAGGGAACGAAAATTTATGACTAGTACTCATCCTTTCAAAGAATATGAACTATATACCGAGCTGGTTAATATTTCATTAAGCAGTTTGCAAATTAACCGTATCAGCGTTAGGTATCTTTTAGAAAAAAAAAAAAAAAAAAAAAGAAAAGACTATTTTTCCGGAAAAAGTATTCATACAATTCGAAAATAGTAACTAAGATCGTTCGTATTTTATCAATTGTCAACCATCTAAGAATAATCCTATTTTGCCGCTAGATTGTGAAAAGATAAAATGAAATGAAAATTACCTCAAGATTAAATGTTTTGCCCTATATATATATATATATATCGAATGGAAAAAAAACAAATAATTTTCAAATATAGATTTTTCAAAAATCCACAAAGCTGGTCGTGAAAAATTACCAAAAAGGCGTCGAAAAATCTATCTCGTAGTCTCATCCTCAAAATGAAGCTGTAGATACCTAAAAGAACTTAGCTCAAAATGAATAGGATTTAACGACTAGTCTAATATGACGCTCACATTAGATAGATGTACAGCCGAACAGACCTTTATTTTTACGTAAATGAAACATAGTATTATAGGCATCGATAGGTACGATATGCCAAGTAGAGCGCTATCAAGGGCGCTGGAACACAATTATTATTTTATTGCATAGAAGAATTTTATTCAGTAGTACTTATCTAAGATCTAGAGCTAAAGGGATATGATTATGGCAGCAATATGATTTTTGAATTAACCTGAAAGTCGTACGAAAAAAAAAATCCTCTTTCCAATTTGTCGGGAGTTCTCACACAGGAGTTTTCAAGCTAGGACACATTTACGAAGGTACGGAACCCTATGAGGAAATAACTACTATTGAAATCTTCAGAAGCCGACATTGATGTGTGCTTAATTCCCCTTCAAATAATTTTTCCTGCGTTATTTAACTTCAGTTTTTTAAACAACCTCTTATGTTATCGAACAACAAAAAACAAATTGTAGGGAATCTTACGTTCTTCAATAGTGCTTAAGTTCATATAGCGTTAAGTAACTTTCTGAACATATAGCAGTACAGTTTAAGGGATTAGCTGCTGTGGGTGTAAACGCAGAGAAATATGTTAAATTATTTAAATAAAATTCGCTACACAATTGTATTATGTAAAGAAAAACAGACAGTTGTATAATGCATTGATTTATTCTAGTAACTGCGAGGTCTGTTTGTTCTGACTGGCTACAATCGAGTACTAAATGCTTTTTTTACTGTTCTAGATGGTATATGCTAAGGTATTAGATATCGTGAAGCATGAATAAACCCGTCATGGCAGCACTTTTAGACCCTCTGCATAGTCGGGTACCGTGCGCCACACGAAACTACGAAGCGTTTAGTTCAACAGGTTGATACAGGTCTGCCCCCCTTCGGTGTTTTCGATATTGAATAATGTGCCCACTGCGGTACGTCGAACAGTGCTTGAATACATGAATGACGACGACGACGACATACAAAAATTGCCTTCTCCCGACATTCTGCATCTGTCCCTTGAGAAAAGCAGGCTGAATTTTTTAGCAATATAAGTAACTGAAAATCATTTAGGGTAATTTAGCAAAGCTTGACATCATCATCATTGGCATGTGCAAATTATTGGAAAAGCCTTAGCTTAGGTTACCTTAGACCATTCGTCCCCGTGGGAATCCTGTTGTTGACGGCTGTTGCATGCATTACAGCTGAAAAACGCAGCCACTCTATAATTAAGGTGAAACTTGAACACTTGTATTATTATTACAAGCCATAAATCATCTATCACTAAAACATTGTGGGTTGGGTTTGTATAATTCAACGAAAAATGTAATGGCCGCCAAAAATCTTGAGTCTCTAAACTGTGTACATCATGCGTACGTTGTGTGAGCAGTTGGATCGTTTCGTGTTGTATATGCCCGTCCGCGTGTTTGTTTAGCTCTCTTATAATAGATGAGGGAAAGTCGTTAACCTATTTATTGCTCACTCGAAGAACAAATGATGTCCTAAAGTACATATAGTAAATAAATGGACCGCAACGGCGGGCCTCTTGTTGCTCGGACTACCCCGGGGAAGCTTTTCGAGAGCGTATTTGACGCTTGCTTTGAATTCGTCTTTAGCTGCAGCACACACATAGCACACGTGAAGAAGCAAAGAATTAGGCAAAAGGAACTAATGGAAACGCCGCTCCTTCTAACGTCGTCTACCGTCGACTTCTTCAAGGACGTACACTTCGGCTGCCCCTCTCGCATTCAAGCAAAATTGCCGGATCTGTTTTGTCGAGTTCTCAGCTATAAATAACTCGGCGGACACAGGAGATCTGAAACGAGGGGCTTACATTTTTTTTCTGGGAAATTTCCAATGAATAGATACAAAGTCTTTTGCGAAAATGTCTTTACAATGTCTTCTCATTCATGGAAGCAAATAATTTAAAGGTCGACAGAAAATAATGTACGCGTTATAAATCAAGCGGTATTGAAGCAGAGGGTTTTGGAACCCTGCCAATGTTGGAGAAGCGGAGATCGTGCTAAATGCGGTCACACTACATATTGCATAAATTGCTATTGCTATTGCTACGAAGTTGAAGCCAACTGTTCGAAGCTTCACTGTGCCACATTTCTTTTTGGAGGATTTACTCACTAATATCAGTATCAATATACAGTATACTTTTACTGCTAGAGGTGTACGAACAGATATATACGTAATAATATTTGGGAATTTTATTGTGTCTGTCAATAAGGTCACAGTTTAAAAGCTGTAAAAACTATAAGCTCGTCATCGAGATTCTGAAACGAGGTCAGCATGAACGAGATTAGGGATTACATAAAAATAATATTCGATTTATTAATATAGGGCTTCATTCACCATTCCGAAGTGATAAGCATGTCCGTTGAACTGTGGTGCCTTCCAAAAACCTAGGACAATGACGAGGTTATATCCTAACTATAAATGAAAGGCCGAGTAGCTCTTTATAAACATGTAATTTTATTACGTGGACTTTACACCCTCGTACACTATTTTCTATGTAGCCACTCATTCTATCTGCTGCGGATTTGTATGCTGTTTTACTAATTCGCTTTTTCCTCAAACTATATCATTCCCAGCGACATCAGGTACTTACTGACATAGCACGTTTAGCATCGAAAGTCGCCGCCACTGCACACCGTCGATACGAAGTCAAAAAACCAGATATAAATAAACAAAGCGATACAAGCGAATCTTATGTGCCGATCGCCGTATCAGAGGTAGCAACTACGTTTCAAGTTTTGTGGCAGGTATTGACGTTGAATATTACTTCAGACGATAGGTTCTCAGCGTGAAATCAAATGTGCCTGTCTAAACCGTCTTTTAAACCTAAACCACCGCTATAACATGGGCTTAGACTCTAACTTTTGTAGATATTGTCTGTTTCTCAATTAAATGGCACAAATGGAAATCTTATAATTTTTGCTTTTTCTCAGCGCGCCGATGAGTGCAGTGTTCCATAGTAAGGCAGGCGACTTTATGTGTAGGACTTAAAAAGTGCTTGGCTGAACGGAGCGGAAAGCATTCACATCTGCATCAACTGTCGTCACGATTTGTAGAACTTTTATGCTCAACCCAGATTTCTATCAAACTAATATTTCTGGTTAGATTTTGCTTCCTGAAACGACACATTACATGTCCCGCAGAAAGACAAAAAAATTAGAGTAATCTGTTTGTCGTTGGAGGCGGATCGAGGAAGTATGCCTAAGGATCTGCTGATTGATCAACCGAGACAGAGCCCAATCTTACTCACTGCGTGGATCTACAATGGGGAGAGTATAATAAGAAAACGTATTGATTTTACAATTTAAACTAGTAGTTTACTTTTATAATTGTCGTCAAAGCAAGTTCCTTGCTGATAATTGCCACAGCTTCGCGACTAGCGAGCAATCTAATCAAATCAGCCATAATAAATGATATACAGATGGCTTTGAAAATTACTATTCGCCAATATACTGTAGGAACGCCATCTAGAGCTTTGACAGAAGAAAAAAACAACTGACAGATGTCCGTAGAAGCCATTATGAAAAAATGGTATTTCCGGCTATTCATGATGTCTATTCATTCAGTTGGTCTATTCTGCGTCGTTAAAAAGAGGCCCTATGAAGACCCTATGAGGCCCTAAAAAGAGAGCCTATCCCCCGGCAGGCACCTCTGCTATTCCGATCATCATCAAGGTCTACACTGCAGCGCTTCTAATTGAGCAAGCGAAAAGTCGGACCAGCCAGTTATCTTCGGTATTTTTAGTTCGTCAGTGACCACAGCTTCCTGTATGGGATCTTCCACAGAGCTGCTTTTCGAAATTAAAATTTTCTTCAGATAATTATTTGGGTCACGGTTTTTCGTAATAAATCTTCCATCGAATGGAAAATTTAAGCTGTGATCCGTCTCTTCCGCTGTAGTTTGAAACTAACTGCCATCCATAAAGCACTCAAATACACTAATCTTCCATATATATATATAGTTTTCTTAGTTAACCTATTCCTATATTTAGTCTCATTACATGCACCTAACGTTCGTAATTTTTTTGATGAAGAACGTTGTTTTTAAACAATAATTCCACTCTTATCGTTTTCTGTCTAACTTTCAGCAGAGCTTGCTTCAAGGAAGGTTAGATGAATACTTCATCAAAATATCAGCTAATCATACTTTTTAACATTCTCTTCCATTAAGGCTTCTCTCACACTAAATTTGTTGACGGTTTCAATAAACGCTCAGTAACAACGAAAGTCTATCTAACACATACGGAAGTTCACCATGGAGGGGGTGGAGAATCTTACAAGAAAAAAGATCTCATTTGGGAAAAGAGCATCTTTTCCTATCAAAAAAAAAAGATTATATTAAAACGTCAAGAGAGCAATATACCAAGTTTGAGAACTTTTCGTAATTGTGAGCTAACCTCAACGTTCTACAAATACTTGTTTTTGATACTGGCATTAAGATCGCCGCGTCAATTTTAGAACCCGATGGATATAAAAGCTGCTTTTGGCAGCAAGAATGGTAAATACATTCTAGCATTGTAGATATCTCAGTGTTATGGCCTTTTTATCGTAGCATAGAAAAGCATATCTACACTTCTTCTATAACGCTATCTTTACGATAAGACCAGATGACATGCTGTATTGAAGCCAACGCTTTGACTAAATGACGTGACCTAGTTTCACAGGGCATTGAAGGATAGCGAAAACGGAGTAGGACAAAAACGGTACCCTTTTCTCTGAGGCATGTGATAATAGGGGTTAACCCAAAGCAAGGCGATGAGTAGTAAGTCTAGGATTGAAAAGCTTCGATTGGAAGTTACTTTTGGTACTTTCCACGAACGTGACCGTAGCAGAATGGTTTTGTGCACAACACATATATACGTGCGTTCTGGTGCCTTCTTTTCCAATGCAAGCCATCGCAGATGATAAATATAATAACAACAACGATTGGCAAGAAAGTATATTGTCCATTTATCTACTGAGTTAACGAGGTGGTAAGCTTAAAATTACAATTGCGCGCATACGTTTGAATAGATGATCATTGGGTTTCTGACTCATATTCCAATTGAGATTACATTAAAAAGCCAACCCAGAAGGTCGTTCCTTCTGATGTCTTTGATAAGGCAGTGCCACAAAAACAAAGCTCGGCCTACTTATTTCTTCCACATGAATAGCAAATTGTCCCATTTCGCATTAGCTGTTGCTTTGTAGTTCGAAAAGTTCGATCTTGTGCTCTAGATGGTTAATCAGTTGATATCTTCCTATTGAGCCAGATATAAGCATGGAAATTACATCAACACGCCGAGTTTCCGACAACATTATACCCGGTTTATTCAATATTTTACAGTAAAACGGTGCGTAGTGATGATTTACGTTAGGATACAGGCAAAACTTTGAGTTCAGCAAAAGGAGGTCTTCACGTGTTTTGTTAGGCACGGTAAAGCGCCCTGGATTTTACGCAGGCTTAAGCAATTCAAATCCTAGTTGTGATAGTGTAGTAGCTTTTACCGGATCGGAATCATCAGTACTTACGCCGTAAGCCTTTGGCGGAATCTATAAAAGTTATTCCCTGTTTTCTAGTTCTTTTGTTCTACATCAATACCCTGATAACAACTGTGTCATGTAGCATTAAGTCGCTAGCATATAAATTGAAAATACGCTAAATATTCCAAGGTTGAGTTTCGAGGTCTTGATGAGGCAGGCCGTTGACGTTTAATTTTTTCACGAGCGCTCACATCGAAATAACGCTTGTCCTTATTTTTTTTCACAGCATTTTTATAGCTTCAGAAAAATTATATTATATAGAGGATAACAATTATTATTTCCTAGGAATCACAGCAAATCTTTTCCGCGCAATGTCAGTTGGAACTAGTGGAAGAGTGGAGGTTTATTGTAACTATAATTAGCGTGCGTTCGATAATTTATAACTAGACACTTTACTTAAGTGCCACGTTTTCGTTGTTTTGTACGCGACAGTATATGTTCCTCGTGCTGAGCTCCCGAGTCCCAGATATAACTGGGAAGACGCTAACCTCGCGATAATAATATCTCCTAATTCTTGTGTACGCTTTGAAGAATGTTATCACCGGTTTGTCAGATAAACAGGAAAGAAATAGGGGGCCGACTTGCATCTTTAAGGCCATATATGTCCACAATGTAATGTCTTCGAGATAGTCGCCGATAGCCAAAACGACAAAACCGAAAAGCTATAGAGAAGTTGGCGCCATACATCACAGCGTTGCACCTATAGTTTATGTCATGAGGCAACCTATAACCAACTGCTAGTCGCGATCAACAGACAGAAACCGAGTCGCATGTAGCGGCGTCCGACGAGTTGGACAATAACAAAAGCTCTATGAAAGCAAAGGAGTCACGCATATAGTAACAACAACAGCTCAGACGAGCCTTGTTCCTCGTCAGAGGGAGACATACGGCTATTACCGACCAACAGCAAACGGTACTAGAGTCAACAAAAGACAGAAAAATAGTATGGTGGTGAAGCGGAGACGTATTTGCTGGCTAAGCACACATACACGACGAACTCTTCTTTGGCAAGGCAAATCGGGGGGAGGTGGTAACCGATAGAGTTGCTTACATCGCCTGTACCACACACAGATATAAACTGGGTATAGGTAGCTAGCGTATACCTGCCAAGCTGAGTAAATAAGTGACCTACTAATACAGAGACATAATGAGAGATTTTCTTACTTGTTTGCTTCGCTAGTTAGCTTTTTCAAGCAGTGTTCGCTGGCGTTTCACGGTCGTCATTATGCCGGGAGCTTAGAAGTCCTACCTTGTTATGTGCTTTGACTGGTGCTGTTGTTGCCCACATTTAGCTGTTTGTGCCGTCCTTTGTCCTTGTGTTCGTAATCGTCGCCAGATGTCTCGCTCTCGTTCACAAGGAAAAAAGCCCCCACTGCGGCCTTCGTCGTCTAGCGCTGTGTCATTTTTGGCAACCACCAACGCTAGTGCCATAGCTTCATTATCCAGCTCAGGAATCCAAGCCAATTTTACTACAATGCCAAGGTAGCTGGCCATAGACACATAGCGACAAAGTCGCTGTTGTTTCTGTTTAAGAACGAACTGGAAAAACAGGTCCACTGCCGGTGTAATATGTACCCGAAATAGGGCACTGTTATAACGTGACAGACAGTCTAGGACCACCTCGTGTTTTTCAAGCCAGGAAACAGCAACGATTTAACTTGTCTTTTGAAATATCTATCCAGATGTTAGATAACTAACTTTCCCTTTATCGATACATTAAGTCTCTTGGCGACTGGCCGTTTCTATAATACAACAACGTTTTTATAATAACGTTCGTCGGGATCTATAGTGAATTTACGAAAGCCCTGAGATGTTACAAGGCACACACATTCAAATTTAGTGTACTAGTGATTTTTTTGCGAAAAAAAAAGCTCCAAATCCTCTTCGAATAGCGGTACGTTCCTGTACTAACGGGCAGGTCCAAATGAAAACGATAGTCCGATGTGGCATTAATTTTATGTCCGGAACATGACGCATACATGGCATGAAGACGGGTTAAGGCTGCTAGGTAATCTTTTTAGTTAGAGAAAAAGTCAAAAAGAAATTAGTGTTGATTGTCGTCAACTTCCCTTCTTCGTCCAGTAGGTAAAATGTCGGAAACTTCTGTTACTGCATTGGGACAAGCGACTGCTCGCAAGCACTTATTGTCGGATCAATGACAAAGATTTTCAGCATCAGAGCTACGTTGAATGTTGGCAGCCACTACAAGAAGTTACATACAGCTGAGTTACATAGCCAATGGTGAATTTAGCACCACGTTCAAATTGTGTTTCATGAAAAAAAACAAGTAGCGCTTATGACGAAATGTTTGCCACTGGTGCTTCTGATAAGTTGTACCTGACTCTTTAATTTAACTCAACATTTTCCTAGTTCATTACGGATACGTTTAGACAGATGAAAGGAGAAAAACGCCTAGGTAGTCAGGACAAACGTCTCGCGTCTATACTAGTAACCATCTTAATAGTAGTTCGTGTATGACATGCAAAGCAATTGCTACCTAGCTTTTGATCTTCCTTGAAACCTGCTAGTGCTGATAAATACGCAAGATATACGTTCAATGTCTATTCCTACGCAAGCGATAATAATCATATAAACGTGTAAAAAAACGGATTAGAATATCGTAGTTCATAATGCTAGCTATCTGCCGCGACGCGCCAGCTTTACCATTCTCCATTCAGCCAATGCAAAACGCTGCGGGGCCGAGGAAAGCAAGTACCCTTATGACGACTACCCATTGTCATTGTTACTGTGATCTCTCCACAAACCGTCGATTGATCGTAGATTTCACTCGTCAGTAAAATAGTATACAAAAATCTATCCTTAAATATACTGACAGAACTTTGTAGTCAAGTTGATGCACGAAGCTATAACGCCATAACCGTCCTCTTTTGTTTATCATCATAGCGAATGTAAAGTGTTTGAAAATTGATGTATGAAACCCTCATTGACTGGATGTATAGGACTGTACATAAAGAAGCAAAGCTGTTCTGCAAAGAGTCGAGAGGCAAGCTGCCAAGGACAGCAGAGTAAGATGCGTGCTAAAAGGACGTACGACGCGTTATAATATTATAAAACTGTCTCATGTCTAGATAAAATAATTAGATTAAAGCTGATAGGCCTTCGGGATCGATTATGACATATGTCTGGCAATCGAAGAAGTCGAAACAACGTATTTTTCCTAATGCATTATACCTTTTAATTGTACAGTTTCAAAACTAAAAAAAAAAAAAAAAAAAAAAGAATTTTTTACGGAAGAGAGAAAAGACAGTGTCCAGCTTGTTGTGGGAGCTGAAGCATCGCGAGCTGCTCTAACGTTAGTGGCCTTGTCGACGGGAAGTGAGGTTGTAGATTCACGTATTTTGACCCTTCGCTAATTAGTCCTGTTTGTTATTGCAGCTGCCGCCACTGTTTTCGAAAGTACTGCTTCAGCCGATCATACGGCAATGCTACGTTGCCCGCCAGCAGGGGATTTTCGTATTACGTCCGATAAAGAAACACGAGTCTAACTGCGAGATTCTGTGCAGCAGAAATTAACTGCGGATAGTCATAGACGTTGTTATGGATCAGTTCAAAGCTACGACGGTGGAAACATTGAACTAACAGACAATTGAAGACACTCTTTTTTGGTTTATCTAAGTCTTCACAGAGACGCAAGAATTATGTACATTAAACTTTTATGTGACGCCACCAATCTGGCGAATTCTTTGCGCTTTTTGTGTAAATAAATAGATCTCAAAAAATCCGTAAGCAAAAACTGGCATCTCGTCGAAACTCATCGTAGAGGTCATTAGTTTAAAATTGAGATAGCTGAATAAAAAATCATTAATAAAATCTATTTAAACTCTACTAATTTTAATTGTCATCCCTACATCAATTAGAGAATACTCATTTTGTAGAAACTTCTGCCAGTATTCGAGCTTTGAATCAAAGGTAAGGTTAAAGCAAGAAATAAGTTACTGAGTGAATGATTAGGGCAAATTTGTCCGAGTTAAAAGACCTGCAAGCGAACTATAATCTGAAATTTCAGCTCGTGATTATTTAAATAACTTGCAAGATCCTGCGACAAAACTTCTAAGACTAACATACATAAATATAAATGAAATATTAAATTTTTAAGAGACTAAACCAATTCAATTGCGTGGACCATTTTCACAACGCATGACACCCGTTTTGCGAACTACGTTACGTTCAAAAGATGAAAGCTTATTATTGGTGTATAATCAATAGAGACTTCAAACCTAGGCTCCACTTTCCATGAGGCAGTTATTTGTAGGTAAATCTGTAATGCGCCGATCGGCCAAACGTAGTTTAATATTCACAGTAAGCAGATTCATTGTATCTAAACTACCCAGGGTAGATGTCATTACCACTTTTAAAAAAGGAACCTATAATTGTTTTTTTCTATATATGTATATATATATATATATATATATATATATATATATATGACTACCAACACCGGAGCATGATATCTATCTCATGTGAGGCTCAGCCTACGAGATGGGCACATTCCCGTCGAGACTACCACTAACCAATTTTCTATTCTTTTTCCAAGGTTTACTCCAAATCATGTTAGATCTTCATTTAACAGTACTCTAGGCTGATCGGAAAAGGTGACCAGTGGCATCAAGCCAGGAACACCCTAATCAGGCTTCCTACCTCTTCAAATGAGCTAGTACACTGCACGGAGTATGACTCCCCAGTACGTCCTCTGAACCTGACAAAGCGTCATGTGCTATATTGCTCAGCCGTGACTTCATAAGCTATTTTCTTTCCTTCTAAAGCTTCTTTGGCAAAGTGTTCCCCGGCTTTCAACACTTTCGCGTCCGGATGACGAAGGGTGTAAACTCTTTACGTCACTTTTTAAGGTTAGTCTTATTTCTTGGTTGGCTTTTCTCTGATGGGTGTGAGCGCCGTTCGCATGGTGCGCCGTATCCTCCAGGTTCGCAGCGCAGAGAACACAGGTGTCGGATGGTACTTTATCAATTTTGGCGGAGATAGCTTTGACAAGTGCTGCGACTCGTCAGGACGTGCGTGAGGTGATGAGCTTTTTAGCGGGAAATGCAATCTAAACCTCTATGTTAGAGATAATTTCCCTTACAGCTACACCCGGAACATCCCTTTTTTGTTACCAATAGCGGAAGTATTTGAAACGGATCCTATATTAAAAATGGCATAATGAAAATGTAATATTTTATTGTTTCGTTTTTGATATTTCGTATTATCTTGTTTTATGGAAACGGACGTCAAATTTGGTATACGATCGATAGTGATCTATTTAATCGTATCATTTGGCCTCAAAAGGCCAGAATCCAGTGATGCCGTCTAAGGAGAAAATTGTCATGCTGGTGTGCAGGGTGTAAGAAAAGCCATCGAACCCGCTTCTGTTTTCCACTTTGCGGTCATTGTCGTTATGTTATAGACCACAGTAAAGCGACATGCCGACTCTTAAAATCCTCGATACTTCCGGTTTTAATTGACACGAGGGCTGGTGGCAGTTCCCCTGAAAAACCGTTCTTTCCTCTCCAACATGTTTTTGCCTGTGCGGAACATGTTTTCTATTTGTTCCCGGTGGCTTTTTATATCCGTCATCGACTCCTGCGTTTTTGTACGAATCATACGATTCGAGCTCGTATCAAGCATCATTTACGCATGTCAACTCTGTCCTCCGGCCGGCGGTCAGTGTACTATGCCATTCTAAAGCAACACATTACGTTTTTAGGAGAGATATCATCGATCCGGCCTGATCAGTAACGTTTACATTACGTCAACTTGCGTAGGAAGTTACTATTTACCGTTCTTAAAACTGAAAGATCTAAATTATGGACATTTATATGAAGTTGGTTCATTTCTTGCTGCATACACAAGCTGGCAAGGTTGCGGCCAAATGCGGCCAGTTCGAACAATATAAAATATTCAAATATGATGATGAACTACACGTGCTGCGATCTATGTTCTGTCGACCCTAAAAATCACTACACGGTACATGGTATCCTGTATTTGCCATAACAAGGTATCGGGAGCATGCTGTACATATTGTATGCCTAAAAGATGACATATTTTTACGAATAGAGCAATGGACAGCCTTAATTTGTGTTCGCGAATCTAATGTTTCTGTTGCTCGGCTGTCACAGTTCAATTGAAAGCGATCGTAGCTGGCCCCGCTATAACACAACAATTGACGAAAAGCAAAGATAATAATATTAAGAGCAAGC